GGGGCATGTAACGTGCATACGAATTTTGAATCAGGAATTTGAAGAAAAGATACAGCACAGGTGGAAGGATAATTTTAAAATTTACGATAAAGGATACTCGGACTGTCAAAGAATCGCCCACTTTCTTTATGGAACCCAAAGGTTCATCACCGTCTTCACAAAAGCTTATATAAAAGCGTGCGAGAAGAGTTGAAATGCGAGGGATTGTTTGTAATTACGTAGGTGGCTAGACGTAAATAGTGGTCGCGTACTAGAATACCCTGTCACGGACTTTAATCCTGTTAATTCGCGTTATCGTTCAGGATTAATGCAGGGCAATTAGAGATCTTCGTGTGGTGGAGTGTGGACGAAGTGTATCAGGTCGGTTGCCTCGGTATGATGATGATGATTCATGTGTTAGAACGTAGAACGGGGAGGAGTCCAATAAGACTCGTGAGTATTAAAAATTTCGTTTAGTAGGAAAGCTAATCGCGTGTTACTTACAGGAACGTGTCCTAAACCCAACATAACCTTTAGACTTTGACGCATATCAGTACAGAATTTTAAGTGATATATTTGTAAAATACTTAAATGTACTTGTTTTGTGTGCCTTAAGTTTAAGAATTAAATTTGCCATTACAGTTATCAACATTTTTCGAACGTAAGTAGCGACTTTGATATTTTATTTAAATTATCAGTGTTCAGAAGGTTAATTAATTTTCATTCAAGACACTGATAATTATGAATTAAATATATTCTTGCGTTTTTCTATAATACTGTTATATTGCGTATGTATAGGCAACTTTGATTTTGTTAACGTGACGTCAGAGTATATTTATGTGGACTTTGTACTCGTACTGTGTTTATTGAATTGTATCTAATAATGTGTCCACAAAAAGTTGTTTATATTGATTAAGTAAAACGTCAGTCCATTAAGTTCTGAAGTTTTTTTCAAATATCTTTGTATCTGCAAAACAGTTATAATTTTGTGGCATACCGTGGGGGGGAGGGAAGGGAATGGGAGGTTGAACATCCCTTGGTGCAGGGGGTTCGGGGTGTTACCGTGGGGTATTTTTAGAAAATAAAGATGTCTATTTATCAGTTCGATGTTAAAAGACTTTACATATGAGATGGACCACTAAGGCTGTATTTATGTTATATGGTAATATGAAAATCATATGCATATATAAAAAATATTATTTTGTATTGTTATTTGGCAAAGAATAGTAGGTTAAGTTTTTTTTTTTAGTCGTCTCTGGTCAATACCTGACCGTCGTGACCCCTTTAGGGGCGCTCATGCGAAAGTACCACGGTGGGTTCCCACTTTCTTCCGTGTCCAGTCTTTAGCTATCAGACTGGTAGAGGAGACGCGGACAAACATCAATGCCTTGATTGGGACTCGAAGCCACGGTCAGGTGCACGTGGTCCATGCCTCAGACCCCGTGGCTACTGGCAGTTTCAGTAGTCTGTAAAAATAATTGCTTTATATTTAATACGTTTCAAAGACGGCATAAGGATGTTGACGTCTTCTGACTGACATGTATGTGAGAGTTTCTACCTTATAGTAAGTATTCTTTACTTTTCCATAGTCTAAAAGTGACAAAATTTCTGTTATTCATATTATATCTGGTACATTTAATTCTCATATAATCTTATTTATCACGTGACTAAAGCTAAAGTGACTATCTGGTAGTCGTATACGCCGTTGAGGACCGAGAAAGGCTGGTGGAACAACGGGTCTTCTGTGAATGAATTAGTACGATTAAATGCCTTAAAACGAGATGTCAAATCTGAATTATGTTTTAAACTAGGTTTGTGGCTGTAAATATTTAGAAAGATATTCTAAGACGCTTTATGCGGTGAAGATTAGAAAGGAAGGGAAATTAAATATTACCTATATTAGAGCAAAAGTTGCTTTAACATGGAGTAATAAGACGTGAGACGTGGGTGTTAACAAATGGGATGAAGAATCATTGAGGCGGCTCTGAACAGATATGAAGGCAGGCACATACCAGAGATAGCATTCAAAGAATGATAAGATAGCTGACGTTAAATTAAGATTTTATGATAAAGGTGGGATATTAGGAAGGGAAATTCAGTTCGACTACACATCAAAAGAAACAGGCCTATGTAACGTAAGCGTACCTCGTTATATAAATCTGGAAATATCAGAGTAAGATCCTGAGGGGTGTAGTGTAGAATCCTTTAATTGTTCTTGTCTGTGGCTTTTTATTTTTATTCTCCTTTATTGCTTATTAAACATATTTTCTTAGCTCACTTGGCTGTAAATTTGTTGTTACGTCTGAAACGTTAGGACGCCTCGTCATGGTGACGAAGAATTCGCTGAGCAAGGTGTCTTACAGAGAATTATGACACCGTTACAATTTCAGTGGACCTCAAATTGCGCAGGATTAAACCTGTTATTATGATAGTTCCGTGGTTTTATGCAGTCCCTCCAGGCTATATCTTGAAGGAGACTAATGCAGTGTCTTTTCTCATATATTTAGGTTTTTTATTCTTAATTTCTTTTGCTGTTATAGGTCGCTTGGTGCGGGTCAGAACTGTGATACATACCGTAGATGCGGGAAAGATATCTTCTCTCTACCGGGAATTGAACTAAGGTCATCCAGTCTCGTAGCCTAGTTAGTATGATGAGTTAGTCGTTGGTTATTTATACGGTATGTGATAAAAAATATTTCGAAGTTCAAGCCTCGTGAGATCTTTGTATCTCCCGTGCAGTGTCGTCTCTGATAAGAAACAAAATTGTTTACGCAGGTACGTGTAATGTTCACAAGTCATGGGGATTGTTGACCGGTTATCTGCAGGCTATATAGCCGGTTGGGAAAAAATACGTTTTCCTTGAGCTTTTAAATTGCGTCCTTGACAGATATATTTCGATATTTTTTAAGCTGTTAAACTGAGAATGCGTAGCTTTTTATTGAATTCATTGGACGTCTGACTTTAGTTTTATGAAGACACGTACGCATTTTGAAGATGTGTTCGTAACGCTACTGACATTTAACCATCTGAAGTCGAGAGAGAGAGAGAAAGAGGAAATTGGTGGGGGAGGAGAAGTGAGAGACACTTCGATATCTGGGGGGGAGAAAGAGCATCTTATAGCTAGAAGGTCCCCAGGCAATGCCCGCTCGTCCTTCTGTTAAGGAAAAAGTAAGAGTGAAGGCGTTAGTGTGATGATTGGCATAAAAGACGGAATTTTGAAATTTTGTATTAGCGAAAGCTGAGACTATTAATTTGGAAGTGTCTGAAGTCGAAGCTCGTCCAAATACTTAAGAAGAATTCAGCCCGTACCGCTAAGAAATCCTGCACTTCACCGTTACACAAAGATCAGATGGTTAGTTTTTCTGAAGAGTTTACATTGAGAAATATACGATACATATAAATACAAAATGTAGAGTTTTTTATTGTTGAAGCGGGTGGTACATTTATTTACCACTTGGCTTTAAAGGAGAAATGTAGGAAAATGTAGCCCTACAATTTACATAGATATCAGGCGCATAAACTGAATTTATGACGAACAATTTTTTTGTAGTAGGTTGAAGTTCAAAATTTGTATGGTCTTAAAAACACGGAAACTGACAATATGTAAAAATACCAAGTCCTCTTTTTCGGGACTGTAAAACGCAAAATTCATTTGACCTTTTCTTATTCTTTTTTAAATACTTGCTTAAAGTGCAAATATTTGCGTTAAAATTAGATTACAAATTACTGTTTTGCTGTTTTCCTTGATAATACGCTTCTGTAGTAATGGAATTTATGAACATTTTTACTTGTAATATTAGATGCTTACTTCATTTGATGAACAGATGGTCACAATTATGAGCAATGTTGGAACTTTGGTCCAAAGTCCAGAGGAAGAAGGTTATTGTAAAACACGTAGTCACTCAGGTCGTTAGTTCGTTTACGTACGAAACTGCTCTTTTCGGTTGAAAGCTAAATTGGCTTATGTCTCGTTATGAATTATTTGTTTGGCACGGTGTCGATAAAACGTATTTGAGCCAAGTACATGTGTTTGTTCTTAACCAGT